ATTGGTGCGGTTGGTTATTTTTAAGTCACATTTTCCCCTTGCTTTTCCCGCTATTCTTGTTATTTCTGGAAAACTAACTGGGTTTTATAGAGTTAAGTAAAAAAAAAGGAGCAGTTTTCTGCATATCTGCCTGTTCATGAAGCTAACCAACTGTGCAGCAAACAGTTTTTGCGCTTAGCACAAAAACTGAGCAGGCAAAAAAGTACTGGAAGGGAGAGGTAGCGGTCATTCACTCATCACTGCTGTTTACGGGTATTGTTCAAAGTTGTACACTTGTTAATTGCTCTTTGTCCATGGCTTTTAGCGAGCAAAAATTAATGGTTTTTCGTGAAAAGTTCCATTATGACATTTTCCTTTCCTTTTTTTGCTGTCATTATCGGCGGATCAAAGGCGTCATTTTTTCGTTTTCAAACTCTTAAACATTTTCTGCTTATTCCTGCTTTGCCGTTTCATTGACACCTGTGTTGCCTTGCGTCAATATACGACAGTCAGTCACTACAGTGTTTTGTATAGGTTTTATGAAGAGAAAGAAAGAAAAAAGCAATGAAGAAAAGCTCTGAACAAAACCAGAACTGAGGACTGATAGCTAAATAAAATGTTATTTTGCACGTTTATGACTATTTACTAAAAGTATTGGGGTGGGCAGAAAAGCATTTTTTTTGAACTTGTCATCTGATTACTCAACAGCGGTAAACAAATCAAATAGAATTCACTTTTATTTTTGTTCGAACGTTTTAATTTGAACTGTTTTACCGAACCTATTCGCCAGTCTTCTTTCCTTTGAATCGGTTTTATTGGAGCACAATTTTCCGGCAGTATTTTCCTGAAACTCAGCCAGCAACATGAAGAAAGAAATATTTTGAAGCAACTTGTTCTTTTTTTTCATTTTTCTGTTGCGGAACTATAGCATAAGTTTTGGAACAAAATTTGCATCCGAACGTCTTTTAAATATGCTCAAATGTTGAAAAATTTCTAAATGAGGCACAAGCGCATCATAGGTTTAAACCTCTCTCTCTCTCTCTCTCTCTCTCTCTACAGCATTATATGCAGTGCCTCAAACATTTTAGTTCTTTGGTTTACGTTAAAAACAAGAAATTCTTAGTTATCCTTACAATAACCTTTTTTTTAAGTTGTAGATTTAGCACAGAGTAAACATTTAGTAGCTTTAAAGCAGACAAAAAAAATTTATATTTCTGAAAAACTATAATACCTAGATATCTTTTTCAAAAATACTACGGTTCTTCATTCATTTGTTCATAATTATTGTCAATATTCTCTTTTTGTACAGAACAATTTATTTCCCAGAATAATCTGAAAGTTCTTATCGAGATGATGAATACAGTAATTTATTTGATGCACTAACACATCACCAATCGCATGAATAGCTAAGGAAACCTGAACTTTAGCCACTAACTTAGGGAATAAAAGTCAAAAATGCCTGAATGACCCTTGATTTTGGGTTTACCAAAAAGATTCGTGTTGATAATAAATTTTCAATAAAAATAAATAAATAAATAAACTGGAGAGAATTCCAATCTTATTCTTCCAAGAACTTCCGAAGACGTTATCTGTTACCCCCAAATTACTGCAACAACAGTAACAATAATGGCTAAACAGCGTTGAACCCAAAGATCTTGCGGGCACTGAGCTAATAACTGTGCAGCAGCAACAACACGAATAATTATTGTGCTGTAAGAGACAGACATTTGGCCACTCTACGCCTGTTTGTTTGCCAGTTGCGAGTTGCTGGGACGGGCATAATTAGTGGCAAAGCACAAACCATACTTGTGTAGACTGCCTAGTTATTATTGACAAGACGCTTCCGTTGGTTTACTGTTGTTAGTGATGCATCCGAGTGTTCAGCGTACTGGTAAGCGATTATTTGGTTTTTGATAGGAGATGGAAACGGATTAAAGAGGCTTAATCACACTAACCAATACGATAATAATTTTTGCTCATTTACAAGTTAGTAAGTAAAGCTAAAGTCATAATTAGACTACGTTCACAATTGGTTTTGCCAGGCCGTTAGGTTGACTTTTGTACGTGTAGATTCTTAATTCTTACCGGTAACCTATCTTCATTTTTTTTGCTTTTGGGGCTCTTGAATCTGTCTGAATACATCTTCCTGACTTCCTGGCGATCTCGTACAAAATTTTTTTTTTAGCTCTTGCAGCTTTGTGGCATTAGCCATAATGGATGTTGGGTAAGTTTTGTAACAGTGATTTGGGAAATCTCAAAGGTCTCAATCGATCCCTGCTTGAAATTTCTGTTTATAGTTTTCGCGTTACCCGGTGGTTATAACCTATTGCACCATAGCAACAAACTGATGTTTTGAAACGCTCTAAGAGTCAGGAAGAGAGTTTGCCGCTTGTTTGTTAGAAGGTCAGGAAAAAGCACACAAGCAATTATGGGGTTGTTGTGATCAATCTAGCGGTGTTATGAACTCCAAATACAAATATGAATATAGGTTAACAGCAGAAGCATGAGTAAGGGAGGGGCATGGTTGACCGCTTTAGCGGTTATTATGGAAATTATTTGTTGAGAAGCATGAGTTTATTGCGGTAAGGTGCCTGTATTGGTCTTGAGATAGCACTTTCATTCTCTTTCACGATGTGTTTGTGTGATAATGGTTTTTAAAAATCGTCGCTTGTATTGCTGAACTTTGTCTATAAAAGGTGATTCTGCAGTTATGGAGGGAGACGTACCAGAATCAGGTTCTCCGACGGAGGATCCATCCCCACTGACAACTTTTCTTCGCCAGCGGTTTTCATCTGGGCGTTCTGATTCTATTATCCCTACTGAAGGTCGGGAAGGGACTAAAATTACTAGGCTGCAATACAGTGGAAAAGTAATGGCAGTGTTCACTAGCGGTGGTGACGCTCCAGGTATTATCTTTTAAATTTGCAGAGCATTATTATGTTGGGAGTACACACTTGTTTTTTATCTTTTATTGTAATTCACTTTAACTAGAAACCCTTTCAATATATCTTTTGTGTTGTTACTCCGGTTTTGAAACGCATGTTTATTTTAAGGTATGAATAGTGCGGTAAGGTCTGTTGTGCGTATGGGCATATATCTTGGTTGTACCGTTTATTTTATCAACGAAGGGTATCAGGGCATGGTGGATGGTGGAGATAATATCAGGAAAGCGGATTGGAATTCTGTATCTGATATTATTCAGAAAGGAGGTCAAAACTTCCAATTTTTTAATTTTTACAGCTGTTTTTTAGTCCCTCAGTCTTGCACTTGTTTAGTTTTAATCTAGAACCGTAGACAAGAACTTTCTGTCAAAGATAAACCTAATTTTAAACTTTTTTTCTGGTTTAAAACTTATTTTTTTCAGGGACTATTATTGGCTCGGCTCGTTGTAAAGATTTTAGGGAACATTCCGGACGTCTGAAGGCAGCAGAAAATTTAATTGCTCATGGCATCACAAACCTTGTTTGCATTGGCGGTGAGTTTTACTGTAATGGTATTTTATCAGGGTTTCAAGATTCTCAATAAGTTGTATTTATATGATGTATTAGTGAAGACTGTTAGTGGAACAAGGTGTTCTATACAAATTGGGGACAACGTGCTAGTTCATAGTTGAATTTAGCACAAATTATAAAAGCTGCTTCTCAGGTGATGGATCTCTTACTGGTGCAAATCTTTTCCGTCAAGAGTTTCCTACACTTGTGCAGGAGTTGTTGAACGCTGGCCGTATTACGAAAGAGCAGGCAGAACAGTGCTCTAACATACAGGTTTGCAACTGAGAATTAATATTAGACGAACAGCTAAGTTAGTTATTTCTGAGGAATAAATTATTTGGTAATAGTTTTCGTCTATAAAATATTTTTTTCATTTTTACTGAAAGCAACATGCTGCATCTCTTAATGCTGTTTTCAATTTTATATGCGCATTTTCAAAGTTTTGCCGTTTCAGATTGTGGGAATGGTTGGTTCCATAGATAATGATTTTTGTGGCACTGATATGACTATTGGAACTGATACGGCCCTCCAAAGAATCATTGAGGCAGTTGATTCTGTGATGTCTACTGCACAGAGTCATCAACGTTCTTTCGTTATTGAGGTCTGGAATATTAGTCCGATTCTTCTTTTGATAAAATCTACAAAAAGTGAAGTATAGTATTTCAACTTTTTTTAGGTAATGGGTAGACATTGTGGTTATTTGGCTTTAATTGCTGCTTTGGCGTCTGAAGCAGATTTTTGTTTCATTCCTGAGTGGCCTGTTCCTGTTGACTGGCCTAAAGTCCTTTGTGAGAAATTGCAAGTTATGCGTAATCAGGGTCAGCGCCTAAACATTATTATCGTGGCGGAAGGGGCAATTGATCGTGATGGAAAAGCGATTACTGCGGAGCTGGTAGTTTTTTTGCAGCTTTTTATAGGCATTATTTTTTAACTAGGTTGAAAATGATGTTGATCTAGGTGTTTTGGAGTAGTTTAAAGCCTAGAATCAAGTAAAGTATACGAAATTTGTAAGTGCTTAGGTTGTTGTTTTCAGGCAGAATTGTTTGTTATAGTATTCATTTGTTTTCAGGTGCGGTCTGTTATTAAGAGTACCCTTCATTATGATACAAGAGTTACTGTCTTGGGTCATGTTCAACGAGGTGGAATGCCATCAGCTTTTGACCGACTCCTTGGTTGCCGCATGGGAGCTGAAGCTGTATTAGCCCTCATGGAAATGACTCCAGCCTCCCAGCCATGTGTCATTTCGATTGATGGTAATTTAATGTGCCGTGTGCCTCTTATGGAGTCAGTTAAGCGGACGCAAGCGGTGAGCTACTGATTTTAAGTCCCAATTTAAAGATAAAAAACAAGTGTGTGCTCTCAACATAATAATGCTCTGCAAATTCAAAAGATAATACCTGGAACGTTGTAAATTTAAGTCCCTGGTTTTAGCTTACATTATTAAGTACATAAGGTACTACTGAATGTTGCAGGTACAAAAAGCGATGGATGAGCATCAATGGCAAGAAGCGGTGAAACTCAGGGGGCACAGTTTTCAGAGGAATTTGGACACGTACAGACTTCTCGCAAAATTAAGAATTCCTAAAGAAAAAGATAATCTTTCAGAAGGGATGAAATTTAACGTTGCAGTTATGAATGTGGGTGCCCCAGCTGGTGGTAATTATTGGTGCTTATACCTTTGTACTGCATTCATCTGATGCTCAAATACTTGGTTACCGAATTTATTTTATAGGTATGAATGCTGCTGTGCGTTCCTTTGTTCGTATGGGAATCTACCACCGTTGTAAAGTTTATGGCATCAACAATTCATTTGAGGGTCTGGCTGCCGGAAATTTGAAGGTCCTATCTAGTTTCTTTTTTTTTTTTTTTTTTTTTTTTTTTTT